AGGTGTGTCTGACCCAAGCCATGGTGTTTTCAGTCACCTCATATGCATGTGAAAGCTGGACAGTGAATAAGGAAGACCGAAGAAGAATTGATGTGTTTGAATTATGGTGTTGTCAAAGAATATTGAATATAACATGGATTGCCAGAAGAACAAAAAAATCTGTCTTGGAAGGACAGCTAGAATGCTCATTTGAAACGAGGACGGTGAGACTTCCTCTCACATACTTTGGACATGTTATCAGGAGGGACCAGTCCCTAGAGTAGGATATCATGCTCAGTAGAGTAGAGGGTCAGTGAAAAAGGGGAAGACCTTCAATGAGATGGATTGGCACAGTGGCTTCAACAATGGACTCAACCATAACAACGATTGTGAGGATGGCACAGGACTGGGTAGTGTTTTGTCCTGTTGTACACAGGGTCGCCATGAGCTGGAACTGACTCGACAGCACCTAACAACAACAAAAAGAGGAGTCAAAGAAGGCCTGTGGTGCAACAGTTAAGTGCTTGGATGCTCACTGAAAGGTCGGTGGTTCGAGACTAGCAGTGGCCCCAAGGAGAAAAGACTTGGCAATCTACTTCCATAAAGATTACAGTGTAGGAAACCCTATGGGATAGTTCTACTCTGTCCTATAGGGTTGTTATGAGTCAAAATCGACTTGATTGCACACAATAGGAGTCGTGACTTTTATTAGGGGACGAATTTATGGAAAAGCACCAAATTTTGGTCTGTTGACAGGTATTGCTGGGTTTGCAGGGGCAACACCTGATGGTGCTGCTCCTGGAACCTCTGTTTCCTGTCCTAGCACTCCAGTTTCACTCCTAGTTACATCAGGAAAGGAAGGGGAAGGGTAAAGTCCATTTTCCCGTCACAATCTGTAAGGTCTTCTTCCCTCAGGTGGAACTGGGCTCAAGGACATTGTCATAGTTAACTAGTGTGGCTGGAAAACAAATACCACAAGTGGGTGGCTTTAAAGAACAGAAATTCATTTTCTCACAGTTCTGGAGGCTAAAAGTCTAAATCAGGGTCTAGGCCATGTCAGTTTCTTCCTTGTAGGTAGGACTATATCCACGGAAATAAAGGTTAGAATTCTAACACATAAGTTGAGGTGGGACATAATTCAGTCCATAACAGGCATAAATACGGTGGAAGCTCACCTGCATGGTGTTTGGGAGGGGCCAAGACTTAGGCGTCTCCTCTCATTTCACCTCAGTTTATTTTAGAATTAATAAATGGTAAGGAGGACATTTTGAAGTCTTCATTTCATAAAATTAGGCTCACACAATTTTCAAGAAGTACTTGTCTTTTTCTAAATATTCTCCAGAGGACAGGGCTCCATGATATTCCCGGATGTGGCACAGTTACCTCTTCCAAACATCTAATGTGACTACTCCTTGTTTCATTTTAAATTCATTCCCTTTGAGCTGTTCTTCTGTGGATGAGACAACCTGCTTTATCCAATATTCCTTCATGAGCACGATTCATTTTCTGAAAATTCAGTATTATCACCTTCACCAGTTTTAAAAAACTCATTCCTGAAACGAAGAAATAGATAAGAAGCCGATGTCTTTTAAGTTATAACCACTCACAGAGGCAGTTAGCATGAGGGTTAAGACACCCAGACTGTGGGGTCAGAAAGTCAGGCTTCACCATTCTTAAGCTGAATGACCCCAGACAAGCCAATTACTTTTTCTAAGCCTCAGTTCCCTTATCTATCAAACGGATCTAATAATGGCACCTTCCTTACAGGGGTAATGTGAGAATGAAATAATGTACTAAAGAACCTCGTTGGGGCCTGGCATTTCGGAAGGGCTCAGTAAATATGAGCCAGCCTATCATTATCATTAGCTATTATTTGCTTTGTATCTGTACAGTTTCCAGGACTGTGCCACAAGCAGGGAGGCACCACCGCAGGCAAAGGTGAGTTAAGATTATCAGGCAACCTGGACTGTGGTTCCTGGCTCAGCTGCTAATTTGTGTAATATTTGTTACTTATTAAGATTATATTTTTTTATAAATTATGATGTATAATGATAAAAAAATCACCCATGAACCTACCACTCAACTTAAGAAGGAAGCTATTATCTTCGTTGAAGCTACCTTGAGTTCCTCCCCAGCCATCCCCCAGCCTTTCCTTAGATGTGACTACCACTTAGAATTATGCTTATCATTTCATTCTTTTTTAAAGGAATATGTGCACATTTCCCTAAATGATACATTGTTTAGTTTTGCTGGGTTATGAGCTTTATAAAATTATATCACACTGTCTGAGGACTTCTGCATTTCCCCCCTTAATTCTAGGATTGATTTATTCATGTAGTTGAGGGTAGCTTTAGTTCATTCATTTTCACTGATGAAATTGAGTTCAATATTCAATTGAAATTCAATATTCTATTTCATTCCAATTTCTCCATTCTCATGTTGGTGGACATTTGTTTACTACTACAAATAGTGCTGCCATGAACATTCCATACAAGTCTTCTGGTATGAATGTGCAAGAGGTTTGATAGGGAAGTGGAGTGGAGTTGCTGAGTTAAGGATAATTTTCAAGAAATTTTCTAAAGAGGTTGTAACCTGCTTGATCTTAACCACTCTTGTCCTTTCTAAATGTTTCCTCATATTAAAAACATAAACAATATAAAAATTTCTATGAGGACTAAATGATATATACTGTTGTTGTTGTTAGTTGCTGTCCAGTTGGCTCCAACTCCTGGCAACCCCGTATGTGCAGAGTAGAACTGCACTCCATAGGGTTTTCAAGGCTGTGACTTTTTGGAAGTAGATCACCAGGCCTGTCTTCCTAGGTGCCTCTGGGTGGGTTTGAACCACCAACCTTTCAGCTAGTAGTTGAGACTTAATCATTTGAACCACCTGGCTGCTATACAATATGTATTAGAGTGATATTAAAACCATAACATCATACTAATATAATTTAGTGTTATTAAAATAGGATAACAATATAGATCCAGTCTTAACAGGGAAGTGGAAGTGGGCTAGTGGGAGAATGGAGCTAACATTTATTGAGTAATTACATATATGGCACCTCATTTAATCCTCACAACAATTTTAGGAGGAGATCCCTGGGTGGCGTAAAATAGTCTGCAATCGGCTGCTAATCTAAAAGTTTGCAGTTCTAATTTATCCTGTGGTGCTGTAGAAGAAAGGCCTGGCAATCTGCCTCTGTAAAGATTACAGAAAACTCTATGGAGCACTTCTACTCTGTAACAACTCACATGTGCTATGAGTTGGACTCAACTCCATGGTAATGGATTTTTTTTTTTCTTTATTATTTTCACTAGTGCATAGATTAAAATACTAACACTCAGAAAGGTAAAGTCCCTTACCCAAGATCATGCAACTAGTGGTGGAGCTGGTGTTCAAACAAGGCATGGTTCAGCCTAGTAAGTGTTTGGAAAATACGCTGGATATAATACTGGTTTACAAAGGATTTTGAGCCCTCAGATCTCCATATGAGACATCTCTTTTTTTGTCTTTGAGCCCCAGACCATTCTTTACCCCAGGTACATGTTTTTAGATAAAACTGACTCAAGGGAAGAACATGCCTCAGGGGAGAAAAAAACGGCTTGAGGAGATATTAAGTAAGTACCAGGAATGGACCAAGAGGTGGATTCCCTGGTTTATCAAAATAAAAAAACAAAACCAAACCAAACTCATCGAGTCAATTCCAACACATAGAGACCCTATAGGACAAAGTAAAACTGCCCCATAGAGTTTCTAAGGGGAGCCCAGTAGATTTGAACTGCTGACCTTTTGGTTAGCAGCCATAGTCCTTAACCCCTATGCCACCAGGGTTCCTTAAGTTAGATTTAAATCCAGGGTCCTCAAAAAGAGCAAGTACGGCATGGCTGAAAGTGAAGACATACTGTCAGTGACTTCATGTCAACCTTTTCTCTTTCTTTTTCCTGATTCCCTTAATCCTTTTTCTTTCCTTTTTTAATTCAAGAAGCATCTTTTTGAAAGTCTCATTGAATGCAGGAACTATACTAGGAGATATTTAGAATACAAACTTGAAAAAGACCTAGTCCCTACTCTTTAGTTCACAGAGAGAGGCAGACATACACAAAATTATAATTAAAGGCAGACTGTAAAAAATTCAGTAATACAACAATAACGAACCAATACTTTCACATATAGGCAGTGTGTTGTAGTGAAAAATGCCAGGCTTTGCAATAGTTTTGAAGTCATCTCTGCCAACTTCGCCTCGCACCCTTATTGGTAAAATGAAAGACATGACATTTACCTTTAGAATTATAAGGTTGTTTTCAGGATTACTGATAACGTAATAAAGTTACTGGCATATAGTTGACGCTCAATAAACAATAGCATTATTTGATTCTCAAAGAAGATGGGGCAGGTATGGTTATCCCTACTTTACAAATGAGAAAGCTACATCTCAGCAAGATTAAGCGATTTATCTGAAGTCACCAAACTAGCAAATGAAGATAACAGCCCAAACCCTGGTCTTTGGAACTTTTAAATCCCAAACCACCACCACCCACCGCCCCTTTTTTTAAAAATCACAATACTTTTACCTATCTCATGCTTTCCTGTTCTTCAAATCCATTAGGGGGAATGGCGGAAGATAAAATGACTATCTAGGGACGTGGGTCTTAAACTGGGTCTTGACCTCCGGAAAGATGAGTTTAAGGAGAATGAGAGCATTCCAGATAGGAGGATGAGCATGAGCAAAAGCGCCCAACTAGGACGGACACATTTGCGAAATCGTCAAGAGCCCGCCAGAGGTGGGAGCGGGTTCAGTAAGACTCCCTCAGTGTCTTAGAGTGGCGAGTAGGTACCTAGCGAATGCCAAGAACTCAGAGACCCACACGAAGGGAGGTTTAAACCGAGACACACCGACCACGCGCCCGGTCCATCCCAAGAACGTCCAGCCCCGCCTCCAGGGGCGGAAGCCGTGCCGTAGCTAGCCTATCAACACTCTGGAGGCCGACGAAATCTGTTCTTCATTGGTGAGCGACGGGGTCACGTCATGTTCGCCGGGCCGGCGAAAGAAGAGGGCGCCATGATTGGTTGGCGCTGGGGCGGTGGAGGGGCCTGGCGAGTGTGGGTTTCAAGCTGGTGCTGGACTTTCCCCTTCCATGTTTCGAGACAGTGGGGCGCTGCGCAGGGCGGGGAGTCGGCTTTAAGGAAACCTGGATTTGGTTCTAAGGGCTGTACGGTTTAGAAGGGGTGACCGGAAGTGGCATTGGGACTGACCGGAAGCGAGGCCTGGAGGGGAAAGGGAGAGCGGGTCCCGAGAGGGAGGGGGCTTCCAGCAGAAGGGGGCGGGGGAAAAGGTGCGAAAGCGGTGTGGGAGCCCCAGCCTGACTGCCAGTCGCTGCGGTTGGCCTGTCTGGAAACCAGTGAGCGACCACCGCGAGCTGAAAGAGGGGCAGCCCAAGGAGTGGGAGTGCGGGAGTCGAGGGCTGCCTCTGGGCAGTCTGGAATAGTTGAGCAAAAGGGGCCTCGCGCTCCAGAGAGCTGGGCGGGAGGGTTTTTCGGAAGCGGGGGCAGATAAGAGCGAGGAGCTAAGGGTACGGTATATTAGTTGTGCGAGTAGTGCCTCTTGGGCTTTGGGGTGGCTGGTGGGCACTGCTTGGGAGATCTTGGTTTGGAGTTTTCTACAGTCTTCCCTTGTTGGGTAGAATCACGCTCCTCGCCTTTGTACAAGCAACGGTGTCTCCTGGGGCAAGGAAGGAGCCAGGATGGCCTGGGCTCTGAAGCTGCCTCTCGCGGATGAAGTGATTGAATCCGGGCTGGTGCAGGACTTTGATGCTAGTCTGTCCGGGATCGGCCAGGAACTGGGTGCTGGTGCCTATAGCATGAGGTGAGTGAGATTTTTCCCAGGCCCTGTACCTACTGAATAACAAAGGCAGGATAGAGAATAAGGGGGGAAGAAAGAGAGAGAGAGAGATGTAGAGAGTTAATGAAGCTGTATGTGGTTGGAGAAAAAAAGACTTTTTTTTTGTTGCTTGGATAGTGAGTATTCTGGAAGAAATGAAACAGATTGTAGGAATGTCAAGACTGCTGGGTCAGTGGAAGAAGGAAGAATGACTCTTAATTACCAGCCAGATGCATGTTGAGAGGCTCCTGTGCCAATGTGGGAGACTCGAAGACTAATGATGTATGTTTAGGTGTTGATAGATTTGTCTGGACTTGTGCGAAGATGGGACCCCATTGAGCATGAGGGATGTCTTCGGAGTTGGGGCTTAATAATTAATATTGGTTGACTGTTGGAAGTAAATGTGAGACCTTGGTGAAGAAGTCCACACATCTGTATCTTAGTCCTGGTCTGCTTTAAAGCTTTTACTTAATTCTAGGATTTCTGAAAGGAGCCCTGGTGGTGCAGTGGTTAAGCACTCTACTACTAACCGAAAGGTTGGCGGTTGGAACCCACCAGCAGCCCCGCTGGAGAAGAGACCTGGTGATCTGCTCTGGTAAAGATTACAGCCTAGGAAATCCTATGGGGCAGTTCTACTATGTCACATTGGGTTGCTGTAAGTCAGAATTGCCTTGACACACAACAGGGTTTCTGACTCTTGAAACATAAGCTGTGCAATGAAAAGGTGGCAAAAAGAACGTTTAGATGTTTTTAGACCTTCATGTATCAAGCCATATGTTTATGATAAATAAAAATCTCCTTGAAACGCAGCATTACTTCCCATATAACTTACTTGCGTCCATTGACTACCTCATCCCCCGGCAGAGTATGTCTCATTTATATATGTGCAAGAATCATGTCTGGAAATGTTGAAACAACTGCATCTTAGGGTTAGATGGAATGTAATTGAAATAAGTGAATCAAAAATAGACCTTAGAACTTTACACTTTCATTGGATTTATGAGTTTATAGGGAAAGATGCCTTTTATGGGGAAAGTGGACAAATTTTGCATTCCACTAGATCTTTTGAGAGTTACATAACATCACTTTCCTTACTGAAATAAAATTATGAGTTTGAACTTACTACTTCAGCGTCTTCAAGAATCATTGCTTATAGTTAGAATAATTCAGAACAGTTTTAGTGATTTTTTTTTCTGGGAAATTTAGTTCTATCATGCAATGTTCAAATTCTTAAGAAATTTAACTTCAGTTTTGCCTGTCTTTGAGCTTTGCATGTCAGTATCTGACATAATATTTGACAGTTTATGCTGTTGTTCATGCAGAGGTTACCACAGGAAAAAGTTTGGTTTTGTCTAGGTTATCAATTCAGGATGGAAATAACTGTAAATGTACTTGTTATAGAAAATAGTTAATATTGTCAGCAAACATTTGTGCATCTGCTATGTAGTACTGCTATGCATCTACTCTGTAGTGCACTACTACTGTGTGCACTGCTATGCGACCTGGCATTGAAGAGCTCTTTCATATCTCGTACCCTCTGTGGTCCTCACAGGTATTCATAGAATGACTTGCACATTTACACATTTAGAATTTTTTTTCCAACATCAAATCCACGACAGTTTTTTTTTTTTTTTAAATAATATTGTGTTTTAGGTGAAAGTTTACGCAGCAAATTAGGTTCCCATTTATTGATTTTTATACAAATTGTTCAGTATCACTGGTTACAATTTTCAGCGTGTCAGCGTTCTCATTATTTCCATTCTTTTTGTTCTGTTTCTATTACTCTAGCTTCCCTTCCCCTCCTTGCCTTCTCATCTTTGCTTTTAGGTAAATGTTGACTGTTTGGTCTCATATAATGTTGACTGTTTGGTCTCATATAGTTGATTGTTTAAGGGAGCACATTACTCACAGGTGATATTGTATATTTTATAAGCCAATCTATTATTTGGCTGAAAGGTAACCTCCAGAAATAGCTTCAGTTCCAAGTTCAAAGGGTATCTTAGGGTGATAGTCTTCGTGGGTTCCTGTAGTCTCTATCAGTCCAGTAGGTCTGGCCTTTTTTAGGAATTTGAATTTTATTCTACATTTTTCTCCCATTCTATCCAGGACTTTCTTTTGTGTCCCTGGGACTTTCTGTTGTGTCCCTGGTCAGAATGATAGTGGTAGCCAGGCACCACCTAGTTCTTCTGGTTTCAGGTTAGAAGAAGCCGTGGTTCATGTGGACTATTAGTCCTGTGGACTAGTTTCTTCTTTGAGCCTTTGATTTCCTTTATTCTCTTTTGCTCCATACAAGTAGAGACCAATAGTTGTGTCTTAGATGGCCACTCTCAAGCTTTTAAGATCCCAGACACTGCACTACTCACCAAACTAGGATGTAGAACATTATCTTTATGAACTATGTTATGCCAGTTGACTAGGTTGTCCCCTGAGACTATGGTCCGAAGCTTTTTAACTCAGTAAACTAATCTGAGAGTTGTTTGGATATGTTTAGGAAGCATGCATAACTGTGCCCCTGTGTTCTTTGTTATATATATGGATATATATGCAGCACACACAAAGGTGTATATACATATGCCTACAGAGACGCCTGTACATGCACGTGCATTTACTTGCATATGCCTTCCTATACAAATATGCATATGTATCTACCTATGGAGCCACACATTTTTTGGTTGTTGTAAAATTGTATATGTTAAAGCATTTACTGAAGTTGTCCCTTTATCTAGTATCCTTCTTAGTGTCTTTCTTAACCTTGGTCAGGTTGTGCTGATTTCACTCATATTTGGTATTGCCTTTCCAATCACCAAAAATAACAAAGTGTCTACTATCTAGAAAGTGATTCTCCCTTCCCCACATTCCTAGCAACCATCAAAGAATGTTACTTTCTGTGTGTATGTACGTTCTTTTTATAATAGTAGGATCATACAATATTTATCCTTTTGTGATTGACTTATTTAACTCAGCATGATGTGCTCCAGATGCATCCATGTTTTAAAATGTTTCACAGACTCCTCATTCTGTATGATTGGGTAGTATTCATTGTATGTATGTACCACAGTTTTTTTATCCATTCATCCATAGATGGACACTTAGGTTGTTTCCATCTTTTTGCTATTGTGAATAATGCTGCAATGAACATAGATGTGCATATGTCTGTTTGTGTCACTACTCTTCTATCTCTTGGATATATACCTAGGATTGGAATTGCTGGATCATAAGGTATTTCTATTTCTAGCTTTCTGAGGAAGCGCCATACCATTTTCCATAGTGGTGGTACCATTTTCCAGTCCCACCAGCAATGTATAAGAGTTCTGATCTCCCCATAACCTTGCCAGCATTTGTTGTTTTCTGTTTGATCATTGCCATTTTTGCAGATGTGAGAAAGTATCTCATTGTAATTTTGATTCGCATCTCTGATGGCTAATAAGGAGCCCTGGTGGTGCAGTGGTTAAGCACTCACCTGCTAACCAGAAGGTCGGCAGTTCAAACCCACCAGCCGCTCTGTGGGAGAACGGTGTGGCAGTCTGCTTCCACAGAGATTTACAGCCTTGGAAACCTTACAGGGCAGTTCTACTGTGTTGCTACAGGGTTCCTATGAGTTGGAATCAACTCTGCTGCAGTAGGTTTGGCTTGGTTAATGGCTAATGAGCATGAGCTTCTTTTTTTTCCATGTATTTTCATGTATTTGTTGGCTGCCTGAATGTCCTCTTTGGTGAAGTGCCTGTTCATGTCCTTTGCCCATTTTTTGATTGGATTGTGTGTCTTTTTGTTGTTGAGTTGTTGAAGTTTTATATATATTTTAGAGATTAGACCCCTCCATGACAGTTTTTTAAAAACATTACTTTGTTTTCATGAGAACACAAATGTATCAAAATTTTAAGTATTTTTTTCTTCACTTTTTTTTAAATTGTACTTTAGATGAAGGTTTACAGAACAAACTAGTTTCTCGTTAAACAGTACGTATATTGTTTTATAACATTGATTAACTACCCCATGACACGT